CAGTACATATCGGGACCGGCAACGTCACTAAAATCCGGCGACTCAAATCTCACATTTCCGGTCATGAAATCCTAAAATTAGTTGAGGGGTTTTCTTACCCATGATCTTATGAGTGTTTTGACACCAACTCACGACGATCTAACGGTCCGATCATCGGAACCAACCTACACCATCACGACGGCGGCGGCGAGCTCCATTTTCTGGCCAAATGGCGACGGTAATGGCTGAATCTGGTCGGGATCGACTCGTCTATTAACATTGAATCTAATGGTAGGGGTCGTGACACCCACTGCGTCCCGGAGGAAGAAAAATTATGGTGGCAGCACGGCGATTCTGACCACCACGTACGGCGGTGCTCTGGCCATAATTGAGCTATGAAAATGGGTGGGTTTTCCTCATCACGCTGCACTGAGTCCATAGGGATTGAAATCACCTCAATCGGAGGTCGGACGAAGGAAATATCGCGATCGAAAGTTTCAGTTGTTTTTGAAACTTCGGCCGGCGATTACGGCTTATTCCGGCAGAGTTTGGGGTCATGCGACCTGTCAAAATGCTCAGCTCGTCGAAAGCTTTCCATTGACACCAGCTGTGTCAAAAAACGGAGGCCTGAATCTCCAAATGAGATTTTGGCCATGGACGGTTTCATTTTTGAGAGAGAACGTTCGAGAGAAGAGAGAAACAAACGCGTGAGAAGAGAGAGAGAAAGTGAATCTTTAGAAGTTATCCTTAAAAATTATCTCTAAACAGATATAATTTATTCTGACTAGAGATTATTTATTTCACCGATAGAAAATTTAATTTTCTGACGAGTTCTCTTTTATTATTCACTTACAGTCCAATCTTAATATAAGAATAATTCAATATTATTTTATATTCTTAATTGTATACTAAATTGGACTATTGCAAGTCTTAAAACTATTTTTAGGCTCAATAGTCAAAACTTGACTCTTTTTATATTTTTTTCTTCTCTCTCTCATAACCATATCTCGTAACTAATATCAAAACTTAACATTATAAGCCATGTACTTATATTTTCTTATGAATCTATCGACGTAATTATGAAAAATCCTTAATTAATTCTACTTATTAATTATTGAATTTTTCCGGATATTACATTACCAGTTCGCAAGATATCTTATCTTAAGAAATCATTCATTAAATTTCTGAAATAGTTCATTATAATTCCAATAGCTAAAATCAAGCTATTGTGTTAAAACGTTTTTCTTTTGCAAACATGTCCTTTCTTTAAAACCTTTTCAAGACCAAAACTCTTTTCAAAACAGGCTATCAAAGAAAGGGATAAGAAATCCTACCTCTTATGCACCAAACATGTGGCTAGAGTTGAACTATCCTAGCCTTCGCTTCTTCGAAGCTCTTTAATCCGATTCCTCAGCTATCATTGATACATAACAATGCTTTAGGATTCATTTCTCATTCCTAAAGTAATTCAATCTCAATCATACACTTCGATTTCCTATTAGTGTGCCTTAATTCAATTACCAATTTCATAATTCATTTTATATTTCAAATCATCATTCCAAGGGTTTTAATCTCAAAACATGGATTAAAGATGCTAATCCATCTATTTTAGGTCTCCAAATGAAGCTAATTTGGGTTCTCTTTGAAAATCAAGGTTAAAATAGGATTTTTAGCAAAACAGGGTCAAACCCCCGTGTACACGGCCGACCGGTGACAGAGAGGGTGTTCTCCACCGATCGGCCGGTGGAGAAGGAACCGGTCAACTGGACCGGTCGGCCAGTGGGAATCTGCAGGGCAAGAAAACTCGCCGAATCAGCTCGAAAACCTAAAATTTTGTCACGCCCCGCAGCCGGGGTTGGTGACGTGGAGCTCGATTAGGGGTTAAACGCACGATAATAAAAGAAATTCCCAACGAGCCCCACACTTATTTAAAATAAATGACAGCATAAGAGGTTCTATTATTTGAGCCTCTGACAACATTTAGGGCTCCGCCCACAGGACATACAGTATTGTACATACATGAACAAGAAAACAACATTACAGACATCAACCACAGTCTAGAAGTCCAAATATAAGAGTTTACAGAAGCTACACTTCCTTGCATTTATATACCAGGAGGATGAACACAATCCTCTCTTGAATCAGACGGTAGCCTCTAATCTCAGCTACACCGCACTGCTCCTAGAGTCGCCTAAGAGGGGTTTAATATTTATAAAACAAGAAAACGTGAGCGAAAGGCCCAGTAGGATATAATTTGAAATAACTTTATAAACAATTAAATAAATGGATAAGCGAGTAATTAAATAAATGAATAGTAAATAAATAAGACATTAAGTTCCAGCACAACAGCCGGAACCTCACAACCTTTTTCTCAAAGGAAATATAACTAAAAATAACAGTATTATAGGCATCAGTAAGTAATTTATACTATGATAAATTACTTACACAACCACCTGCACAAGCCTTATCACCCCCGGGCCGGGTTTCGGGTTCTGCCCTCAAGGATGCACTCTCCACATCCTGTCTAGGCCATCAGCCGATTTACCAATTCACAAGATCTCTTATCTTAAGAAATCATTCATTAAACTTTATAAAATCGTTCATTTAATCCTATGAACTACAACAAGCCATGGTTTTTGAAATGTTTTTCTTTTGCAAACATACCCTTTCTTTAAAACATTTGCAAGGCCAAAACTGTTTTGAAAATCAGGCTCACAAAGAAAATGGTAAAGAATCCTACCTCACAAATATCAAACCTGTGACTAGTGTTGCTCTATTCCGGCTTTCGCTTCCTTAAAGCCTCTTAATCCGAGTTCTCAGTTAGTACTGATACAAAACAACACTTTAGCATCCAATTCTCATTCCTAAAGCAATGTCAATCTCAATTATATCATTTTGATTTCCTATTAGTGTGCCTTAACTCAAATCCAAGTTTTACAAATGATTTTATAATCAGTTTGGGGGTTCTTTAAAGATTGAAATCCAATTCATGGGTTTGGTTTCCTATTTAATTTCAGCTTAAAAAAACTTCCTAAAGAAATTTTGGCAGCATGCCGGCATAATTAGGAAAAATGCCAAACCTGCAAATTAAGTTCAATTTCAAAATAAATTCTCCAAAATCCATCAAAATTAGTTTTCAATCAACTAAACAAGTCCAATAACTGAAACCCCCTAAATTTTAATCAATTCTAACAACAATTGTTCAAATCCAAACCCTAACTCAAAATTATTCAAATCCAACCAAAATTAAACTTTTTCACGTTTAAAAATTCAAATGAGTGGGTTTCAAGGGGTTTTACCTCAAACTAGTTGATGGAGCCGTGCTCCCTCCGTTTCTCCCGTTTTCTCTGTTTTTTTTTCGTCTCAGCAGCAAGCTGAGAGAGAGAGAGGGAGAAAGAGAAACCCAGAGAGTGAGAGCAAGGGAGAGAGAGACAACCAGCGGGAGAGAGATCCCGGAGGAAGTGGCCGGCGTGGAAGAAAAATGGAGAGAAAGAGAGATAGAGATGGCTGGCGTGAGAGAAACCAGAGGAGAGAGAGAGAAAAGAAAAAGAAAGAAAGAAAGAAAGAGAGAGAGAGAGAGATAGGGCTGGGCTGGCAGCCACGGGAAGGAAGGGAAGAAAAGGAACAAAAAGAAAAGAAGAAAAAAGAAAAAGGAAAAAGAAAAGAAAAGAAAAAGAGGTGTCCCAAATTTTTAAAAATAACAGTCAAAAGAATGTGTCTACACATTCTTCTGGGGTAAAAATGTAATTACTGAAAATATTTAAATTTCTTGGAAATATTTAAATTTACATGTGAGAAACATTTAATAATCAATAATTAATCAATTAATCCAGATTAGGCACACTAATAAATCTCAATTACCTTAATTAATCTCATTTAATTCTTCGGGGTGTTATAAATTTCGAGTTCAAATCTAAATTATTTCAAGGAGGAACTGCCAAATCCAGGTTCTAGTTACTAAATGAAGACCAAAGAACTAATTTTCCTCAATTTTCACCGTGATTTTACTCAAAATCCATCAAAATCCATTTCGAACTAAAAATAGGTTTTCTAACCGAAAAATTCAAAATTCGAGAGAAGTTTTTTAGAAATCTTACTTCAAATCATTCTCGTGACGTTGAAAACTCCTTGAAATTCTTCTTTGGTTCGAAATCCGGTTGATTTGGTGACAAAATTAGAGGGGAGAGAGAGAGAGAGCGTGAGAGAAAAATGAGAGAGAGAGAGAGAGAGTGAGGGAAACGACAATGAAAGAGAGAGGGAGAGAGAGCTGCATGGGAAAAAGAAAAGGAAAGAAAGAAAAGAAGAAAGAAAAAGAAAAAGGAAAAAAGGAAAACGGCTGGTGTCAAAATATTTAAGGTAATAGTCCAAAAAATATGTCTACACACACTTCTGAGGTGAACATGTAAATATTGCAAACATTTAAATTGCTTGGAAGTATTTAAATTTTCACATTAGAAACATTTAATAAACAATAATTAATTAACTAAACCAGATTAGGCACACTAATAAATCTTAATTATTTTAATTAATCTCGTTTAATTTCTCGAGGTGTTACATTTTTCCTCCAACCTTTTTTGATATTATGGTTTATTTAGTAATGCACTTGTCAGATGAAGCCGTTCGAGGAGGACCTGTTCATTTAAGGTGGATGTATCCTTACAAATGATTTCTTGGTTCATTAAAAAAAATATGTTAGGAATCGTGCAACACCGGATTGTCGAGGCTTATATTGTCAATGAAGCACTGACGTTTTGTTCGATGTATTAAAGAGGCATTGAGACAAGATTTAATAGACTTAAGAGAAATTGGATAGATGATAAAGATGTTAATGTCAAGAAAATTTTTGTCTTTCAGTAAATATTGCAAAGGTCCACCGCGTGCCATGATTCCGCATAATTTCCAACAATAACTTGCGCAATAGTAGCTATATAACACGGCCATAACATGGTCTGAAAATGTATAAGCTAATTTGATGCTTGCTTGAATTGCTCGAAGTACATTTGTTATGATGTAATTAAGCCTTATCGAGGCTCGAGCTGTGATATGGTTATCTCGTTTGTGGAAGATGATTCGGGCATCGCAGGTAAGTGATCATATCTGCTCGGTGAATCCATCTTCATGAAATATCCAGGTTGTTCAGGCTGAGGCATTTCAGCCGCACTACCCAACATCAGAATGACAGATGACATATCGGGTCTATCCGCAGGACTTTGTTGGACGCATAAGAGACCGATATGAATGCAACGCAAAACTTCCTTTCGATTGAGGTGTGAAGTAGCCCTTAGGTACCCATCAACCAATTCAAATGAACTGCCTTCTTTCAGCAAATTCCATGCCTATGAATTAAGTGTCACAATCCAAAGTGTCAGCAGTCATTAGATTGGAAAGTACATAGACATATCAGTTCGAATGGCCAATACCGTATCTTTTCAATACTTACATATCCAACGAGGGTACCACCATGGTTTTTGAGATGAAAGCTACTACTTTTTCTCCCACTTACAATCTCCAACACCAGGACACCAAAACTGAATACATCTGACTTTGTTGAGAATAGGCCGCCGACAGCGTATTCTGGTGCTATATAGCCACTACAAAACATCCTTAGTTACTCTCAAGTGCAATATATATATATATATATATTTTTTTTTTTTCTTCTTTTGTATAGAAGAAGAATCATATAAATTAGGTGCATGCAAGAATAATAGTACTCACTATGTTCCTATCACTCTTTTTGTCTGATCTTCCATCTGATCTCCGCCAAATATTCTGGCCAAGCCAAAGTCGGAAATTTTCGGATTCATCTCACCGTTAAGTAAAATATTACTCGCTTTAAGATCTCTGTGTATTATTCTGAGCCTTGAATCCTGGTGAAGATAGAGAAGGCCCCGGGCGATACCAACTATAATGTTGAAACGTTTCCTCCATTCTAACAATTTTCCATGCTTTTGATCTGTCAATTTGTTTCTGAAGTTAAGCACGCAAAGCAGATAAAAACAATTAACAATATATATATATAAGAACGCCAAAATCAAATCCGTCTAGTTGATTCTTGCACTAACCAAAAATGAAATAGTCTAGAGATCGGTTCGGCAAATATTCATAAACCAGCATTTTCTCTTTTCCTTCAATGCAGCAACCGAGAAGCCTTACTAAATTTCGATGCTGAAGCTTGGAAATTAGCTTCACTTCAGTTTTGAACTCATTTGCTCCTTGGTCAGATTTGAATGAAAGCCTTTTCACAGCGATTTCTTGTCCATCTTTTAACATACCCTGAAATTATTTCTCACACATTAACAGCAGGATTGCAATTGGTCTTCTCCTAATTAATTTAGATAATTTCATATTTCCCCTGTTGTTCGTAGACTTGAATGTCAGAAGCTTACTTTGTATACGGGTCCAAAACCACCTTCTCCAATCTTATTGTCATCTGAAAAATTTTTAGTCGCGGCCGCCATATCAGACAGGTTATATAAAGGAAGCTCCAAGTCTTTATCTTCAACTTCATCTTCAGCTTCATCTGAATTCTGACTTACTGTTTCTGTTTGACCCGCATTTTCCTCATCTTGATCTGCATGGAAAGATGAGACTCATTACATATAGGAAACGAGACGAGGAAAATACGGAACCACTTGCTTTGATACCATGTTAATTATCCAATTCATTTCAATATTTTAAGCTTTTAAGAGGCGGGCTAAAAATTGTCTTATATTCATACAAGTACTATACTCTGGAAGAATTCAAAGTAGTTTAAGACTAGGTCATAGGTTCCCTCTAGACTATTTTTTAAGCTTCATGACAGTAGAAAAACAGATTTCGTCTAGATTAAATTATAAGAACCTTTGTTTTGGGTCCACAAAATTTGTAATCCATTAAAAAATAATAATTTTACTATATATCAACACTACAAACATGACAATAAAGAATGCTATTGTGATGTAGTACTGCAATCATGTTATATCTACTCTAGTTAATAATACATTATTACCTTCCAAAAGTCTCCTCCTTCTGAAAATGAAATAACCCAATAAGAGCATGCCAGAAACACCTCCAAGGACAGCTACGACTGTAACTATTACCACTCTTGCCTTATCAGCTCTCCCTTTCCATTAGTAATTATTTAATTTTGACACAGAAAAAAAAATTAAAATCAAATTGTAACCTGAAGATATGAAAAGAATATGCAAAACATCGAACTGTAGCATATATAAATTACAGCATACTATGTCCGGAATCAAAATATGATCACAATGATGATAATTAATTAAAAAAAAAGTAGTAGTAATAACGATATTAACGACAATAATATAGTATTTAATAGATGTAAGTAACCATTAATTTGTGTAAAAATTAAGCCCTTACCTAACTCTGAGCGTGACACGCGAACAAATAACTCTTGCCCATCAGATTGAAAATACCTAATATCTATCAGATCACCAAACCACATGGCACAACCACTGCCTTGTCCTCTCACATCAGAGTTTGTATAAGCGGTACAAGAACAGTTGCTCAAACATTTGGCCTTGCATTCCTTTAGATTCATACTTTTGTTCACCCAAAAATATGTTGTATCTGGCAATTTCAAGCCAGTAAATTTAGCAAACTCATCTTTATCTTTCTCCAAGCAGCTTAGTGGATTAATCCGTTCACATCCGTCAGACCAGTCTGTTAAATTCCATTTTTCTTGAGACTTGGGCCTGAATCCATCAAGACATTGGCAGATTGGATTACCGGAGATGACACAATTTCCATTAGCTCCACATTTGCCGTAGAAATCGCAATTATCTCTAGGCGCAGAAGAGTAAGTATTCCATTTTTGCTCACTATCCACCCATGTAAGGCGGTAACGCAGGCTAGACGTTTGGTTCAGAACTAAGATTGAGATAACCGAATTATCCTTAAGCTTGTACGTATAATATACCTCATCATCATTGAAAATAAAACCATAATCGAAGACTTGATTAGGCTTTAATTCTGGCGCGCCACTGAAAGTAAGACCATTCCATGGACCAGTTCGATAAAACTTGGCATTCGCCTTCCTTATTACTATTTGAGGGCAGGTATGAAGTTTTGCTTCAAGGTCAACCCCGTAAGTGAAATTTGCAGGACAGGGATCATCCCAATTCCTCCATGCTGATAACTGCCAATTAAGACCCTTCTTTAAGTCCCATCCCAGCTTCATCCCCGATAACAACGTATCACAAGGATAATCAAAGCTCTGCCACAAATAGGTCTCCGAGTTTTTATCTTCCTCATCTCTCACAACAAGATTCCCGGAATCTAGAAGCTCTAATATTGGTTTCTGGGGTTGTGTCGATAAACTCGTAGACCAAACCACAGTACTCGTATTCCTATTTGAGAGCACAAGATTGCCTGCGCTGTTTATGGTCAACATGCCAGAAGAATCATTGATCGGGTTGCATCTGTTTGCGACCCAAACAACTGTTTGAACTGGGATTTTCTTGTACCAAATTCCCAAGTAATGATTGGTGGAATTGCCTGGAGTGAAGAAACCAAACTCAAAAATTCCTTCTTTAGAAACCAAGGTTCTTCCATCACTGATGGACTGGGATGGATTTATGCTGTCCAATGCGAAAGATACTCCGCAGAGGAGAAATAAGAAAAGAGCAAAATGAAACAAAAAAGAAAACTTTTCCATTGATCTCTTGTTCTTGATAATTCCTTAACTGCTTGTCCAGCATATTTTGGCAAGATTTTGTGTAGACTTTAGAAGGAAATTATCACGAAGTTTCGCTTTAGTTTACTTAAATGCCAGGTCAACTTAATCAAGAACCGGTATGCCATAAACTATTCAAGCATTATTCCATTAGAAACTTTGAATAGTTCAAACTTAGAATTTTATTCTTGACTGGTGCTTTGTGAGATACAAATTTATTAGTCGCTTTTATGATGTGATTACATCTACTATTATTATATGACTTTTGGCTTTTCTAACTGACGTTCTAGTATTGTGTATTAAATTACAAAATTCTATCTTTGAACTTTGACTTCTTAAAATATTAGCTGATTAGCTGATTGCTGATGAAGAGTAAGTGCTGGAAAGCTGACATTTTCTAACTAGTTCCGTCATAGTCTCAATTAGAAGTGAAAAATGGGAAGAGTTATATTGCATAAAATCTACATGAATAAATTTTGAATTATCTTTGGTTGGAGAAAGCTTTGGCGACCAAATTTAATATATCGGGCGACCGATTTTTTTGTCACAAAAAAGCTATTTTCTTGTAGTGAGCTGTGGTCAATGTATACATTTAGATATGTTTCTGGTAATTGCGTTTAGATATATATGATGATGATATCATAGTTTTTTAACCAACCGCTTGCAAGTTGCAATTTTCTCACTCTGACTCTTTCCTTCGAAAGATATGTAACAACAATAATGCAGTTCCAACCGGGAAGAAATATATTATTCTTTTTCTTGAATGTAAGAAATGTATTATTCAAAATCTTGTGTTACATCATTTTGTGTTAATAAAATGATAAATTGGTTTCCTGGCATATTTTGCTCCTACTTATTTTAAATAGTTAGAAATTCTTGCAAAATAGTAACAATCAGGACAACAATGATGTTGTCGATTAGTGTAATAATATTGTAATATTCCCATGCTCCTTGAAAAATATATATAAGATATCTATATATATGGAAGAGTTATATATATATATATTTATACACACACACATACATACATATATGATTTATATACTTGTGGTATTTACTTATAAGGCTCCGTCGTGCACACAACATTGGATAGGATAGTTTTAGGGCAATGGATTGAAATGTATAGAAAAAGATGCGATTAAACTGTAGCTTAATCCATTCCCATGTTTGGTGCTGTGTTATTAAGATAAGGGAGTCTTTATTAAAAAAAATTAAAATTTAGTATCAAATTGTAATTTTTTTTAAACTTGAGAGGCAAAAGTAAACTTTTTTAAAAAATATTTTATTCAAATAAAAATTACATTTTGACCCCTAATTTTTTTAAAAATTAGAATTAGGTCCTAAAGTTTATAAAAAAATTACAAACAGGTTCCTAATTTTTTTAAAATGTGGTCTAGTTAAAAGTTATCCCACGCCTCAGCAGAGCATAGCAACATCCCCTCCTGAAGGGATTTGAGAATGAATTGGACAAAAGTTTATCCAATAATTCCTTTAAATTATTCACCAAACATAATATTTAAAATTAATCTTAACCAGTCCTTTCTAATTCTGCACACCAAACATATTTACTTAAAGCATTGGAAAAGTAATGGACAAAGAAGGTGGTTCCATTTCCCTGCTATTGTAACGCCCTCCAGAATTAAACTTGTTTAATTATGATAATTGTGGTTTATTAGTGTGCTTAAATTTATTTTCTTAATTAATCATGAGCTTTTAAATTTATTTTTAGTATTTACAGTTTCACCCCTCTTTACTTTTATTTGTCTTTCCCTGTTATTTTCTTTTCCTCATCTTATTTTCCTTTTCTTCCTTTCTTTTCTTTCTTTCTTTTCTTTTCCCTCCTCTCCCGTAACCCTCTCACGCACTCACACTCTCTCTTATTCTCTCTCCCTCACCGAGCTCTCTCTCTCTCTCTCTCTCGCCCACCTCTTCCTCTCTCTTTCTTTCAAGTTTTCCCTCTCTCTCAAGAACATTCTTGAACCGGATTTGAAGAAAAACAGAGATTTTTAAGAGATTTTCAACATCAAAGCTTGGATTGAGGTAAAACTCTTTGAAACTTACTTTAGATTTTCAGATTTAGCTTTGTGGAACTCGTTTTAGTCGAGTTTGGTGATTTTTGGTTTAAATTTTGTTTTCGAATGGGATTTGGTGAAACCTTGATGAAAATTAGGGGTTTTTTATTCTTTGGACCCCATTTGTTGATTTGAAACTAGATCTATACATTTCCCTTGAGAATATGTCGAAATCGAACCCAAAATTTGCAGGTTTTGGCTTTGTTCCTCGCGAATCGGCCATGGCTTGTGACGACCCTCCTGGGAGGCCGTCACCGTAGCTTAAATTTTAACTCGTACTTATTGGGGTTTCTTAAAATTTGCGGAACATTTTTTTTTTATATATAAGAAGAAATACTTTCATAGTTCATAACAATAATTTCGAAAGAATGAATCACTAAATTTCTTAAAGCTTTTCTTAATTTTAGTTAAGATAAAATCTTCTAGAAATATCCTTCAAACGGAGTAGCATTTGAACTCTTGTTTCAAATACCCTTTAAAAGTCTTTATAAAACTAGCCAATTCAATCGAGCCATCTCATTTGACTTTAAAATGGATTTCGTGAGAAATCTTAAATTCAAGTACATCTTAAAGTCCTTTTCAAATGAATCATTTAAATCGTCATGTTTAAAATTCATTTATTTGTTGGATGCACTGTAGCAACGTTCTAAAAATTAAATACTCAAAACTAGGGTTGTTAGCTACAACCTCGGTTTTCTTAACATACATATGTACGTATACTTTTTAAACATACATGCTTGAAACCTTTGAATCATATAGACATATACATGATTTTTCTTAAACTTACTGCGGAAGATAACTGCGTGAGCGGTATCCATTCCCATCTCCACCATTTGTCCGCCGCTCACCATTGCCCTTCAAAAATTGTTGATAGGGTTCTTACCTACAGCATGAACATATCTGATTGAGCTTTCGCTCAGCAAGTAGGAACTATATCTCGCAAAATAACTGTAAGTACACATGAATAAATATGCATGAGCTGATTGTGCTTAATTATGATGTCTTATCATAGTCTTATTATCTTATCTTATCTTTCTTACTGATGGGCCCGAGTGCTCGCGTACCACTTGCGCGCAATCATCGGAACATGAGGGTTTGCAAGGTCCCCCACGACACCGTGATTATAACTTGAATGCCTCCCTTGAGTCGGAGGACATTATTGTTATTTTCTTTTTCTCCCTTGTGGAGCTTCAGTTACCTCCCTTGTGGAGGCTGGTACGGCACTGAACTGATATTATTCTTATAAGTTCCTCTTGACTTATTAAGGTGTATGCAATATGACATAGCAGAGAATATTATAACATGGAATGTACTCAAACACATATACTTCATGTGCACTACTTAAGTGTATGCAGTATGATCTAGCATAGTATACATAACATTAAATTAACTCAAACACATATAATTCATGTGCGCTGCTTATGTGTATGCAGCATGACATAGCATCACATACAATACTTAAAGTATAAACATGCATATATAACATGTGTAACTTTTTCTTTAAAATCTATTCATACTGTAGGCGAGATTCCTACTTACCTGATTTACAGAGCTGGAATCCACTTTTTGCGAAACAGCCTATTCTCTTACTTACTTCTGAAAATGAACACCCATTGAGAGTGTGAGATTATCTGTCGTTTGCTATACTATTTTAGCAGCTTATGAAGGAAATCTAGCCCTTTACTTAAGGCATGTATTCCTTTCCTTTACTGAAGGATAATTTACTATAAGGATTAATTTATTAAATCCTCAAAATCATAGTTTCCTTAATTGCCATTACAAATTTGTGCAAAATTGATAATTCATTAATTATCTTATCCTTATAATAAGTCTAATAATTTAGTTAACTAATTTTGGTAATTAATTAACCCTCTTATTCATATACTAAGTCTACATAAGTTAGTTAATTAATCTTAGTAATTAATTAACTTCCTTAACCATATTCTAAGTCTTAGATAATTTAATTAATTAGTTTTAATAATTAATTAAATTATCTTCCATAATACACTTTTAATAAACTTTACTTTACCTCACTTGACGGCCTCATAATACTGTTGAGGTCCATATTTACCGTCATAAAATTAAGGGTCTAGCGTATCGTTTCTTTACGATTTTGGCTTACATGCTTATTTGAAAACCGTTAAGTTTTATTGGAAAACTATATACGACGTTTAACATAAACATAAACCTAATTCACGAATCTCATAATTAACGTATTTCGTGAAAATCATACGCTTTATATGACTATCTTAATTAAACTGTAAGCAAGGTTTGTACTTGCCTGGATTCCGAGCTAAGCGGTTCTGATAGTATCTCGCTTGTTGTGTCCTCCTGCGTATTCCTCAACACTAATTTTGGGAAAAGCTGCAAGCACTATGAATGATCCTTGAGGAACATCGTAGCGTTAAACACTCGATTCTAATCTTCACTTGTTTAGTTTGAACCACCTCGATCCGCGTGCAACCAGTACCAGACCATTCTTATAAAAATTGAATTTGGTTGAACGGACGTCACCATTTCATTCAGTATGTCGAAACGAGTTGACATATGGTCTCGGATCATCAAACGGATGTCGATAGCCTGAGGAACGACACCTCGCCGGAATATGGCGGCGGCGGCGGTGGCGGAGGCTCCCGGAGAGTTTTTTCGCAGCGGACTTGGGTCCTACCCCCCCTAACTTGACCCTTCTGAGTCCATTGGTGTGGTCAATTTCACACCATTTGGCCTGTAACAGTACCTATTGGGACCGGCAACGTCGGTAAAATCTGGCGACCCAAATCTCAGTATTCTGGTCATCAGTTCTTAAAATTGGTTGAGGGGTTTTCTTACCCACTTCCTTCTTAGTGTTGTGACACCAAATTCACTATGATCCAACGGTTAGATCATCGGAACCACCTCTTCCCTCCACGG